TTTGGGTATATAGAGTGATGCGAATTAATAATATCAATTTGATGCGAATTCATAGAAACAGTCATCAAACCCCGCTGAACATGATATTATTATAGGGTTTCCCTTTTCAAAATATCATAATGAATCCAGATCAATAATCATTTTGGGTTTATCGGACCAAGATGAATGATTATTTTGGGTATATAGAGTGATGCGAATTAATAATATCAATTTGATGCGAATTCATAGAAACAGTCATCAAACCCCGATGAATATGATATTATTATAGGGTTTCCCTGTTCAAAATATCATAATGAATCCAGATCAATAATTATTTTGGGTTTATCGGACCAAGATGAATGATTATTTTGGGTATATAGAGTGATGCGAATTAATAATATCAATTTGATGCGAATTCATAGAAACAGTCATCAAACCCCGCTGAACATGATATTATTATAAGGTTTCCCTTTTCAAAATATCATAATGAATCCAGATCAATAATTATTTTGGGTTTATCGGACCTAGATGAATGATTATTTTGGGTATATAGGGTGATGCGAAATAATAATATCAATTTGATGCGAATTCATAGAAACAGTCATCAAACCCCGCTGAACATGATATTATTATAGGGTTTCCCTTTTCAAAATATCATAATGAATCCAGATCAATAATCATTTTGGGTTGATCGTGTAATATAGGTACTTATTTCATTTTAGGTCAGTCTTGCGTTTATGCTTATATTTGTTCATGCTTCTCTTTGTTTAGGATATATTAGTTTGTCGCGTGTTAGTTTTTCATGTTTTCCGGTATAGTAATATTTTACATGCCCTTTTGCTCTACAAAGTTCCCCCGCGTATCCTAATATATCTAACACCTCCTACTAGTTCATTTACGTATTGCACGATAGATACCGACAATAACACCGGCAATTATTGATATTAGTTTGCATATTGTAATGCTGTTATATAAAGTAGAGTACGGAGAAACAGTTAGTTAGTTAGTTAGTTAGTGAGAGAGAAGCGTGGTGCTTGCGAAAGGCCACTGCTATCAAACATGTAGACACTAACTCACACACACACAAAGAACTGTCATGGATGGAAAGGCTAAGAGAGGGCTGATGGCATTCAACCCGAGTGGCTTGTGAAAGCACTCGAGGTTTCGTTTCATATATATATAATTTAATGGCGTAACAGTGCTTGTGAAAGGCTGTTTAGTACCTAAGTTTCGATATTGTGTAAAAGTACGTCTTAGCTTTGGATGGAACAAAAGGAATTGATTTTGTGTGTCAAAACGTGTCGTTTATTCGCTCGGTCAATCGCTCAAACAACGAATGGTGTCAGAAGTTTTACAAATGTATATACCAGTAGCAAAATTTTACAATCGGACCTAGATGAATGATTATTTTGGGTATATAGGGTGATGCGAATTAATAATATCAATTTGATGCGAATTCATAGAAACAGTCATCAAACCCCGCTGAACATTATATTATTATAAGGTTTCCCTTTTCAAAATATCATAATGAATCCAGATCAATAATTATTTTGGGTTTATCGGACCTAGATGAATGATTATTTTGGGTATATATGGTGATGCAAATTAATAATATCAATTTGATGCGAATTCATAGAAACAGTCATCAAACCCCGCTGAACATGATATTATTATAGGGTTTCCCTGTTCAAAATATCATAATGAATCCAGATAAATAATCATTTTGGGTTTATCGGACCAAGATGAATTATTATTTTGGGTTTATAGGGTGATGCGAATTAATAATATCAATTTGATGCGAATTCATAGAAACAGTCATCAAACCCCGCTGAACATGATATTATTATAAGGTTTCTCTTTTCAAAATATCATAATGAATCCAGATCAATAATTATTTTGGGTTTATCGGACCAAGATGAATGATTATTTTGGGTATATAGGGTGATGCGAATTAATAATATCAATTTTATGCGAATTCATAGAAACAGTCATCAAACCCCGCTGAACATGATATTCTTATAAGGTTTCCCTGTTCAAAATATCATAATGAATCCAGATCATTCAATCATTTTGGGTTTAGCGGACCAAGATGAATGATTATTTTGGGTATATAGGGTGATGCGAATTATTAATATCAATTTTATGCGAATTCATAGAAACAGTCATCAAACCCTACTGAGCATGATATTATTATAGGGTTTCCCTGTTCAAAATATCATAATGAATCCAGATCAATAATCATTTTGGGTTTATCGGACCAAGATGAATGATTATTTTGGGTATATAGGGTGATGCGAATTAATAATATCAATTTGATGCGAATTCATAGAAACAGTCATCAAACCCCGCTGAACATGATATTATTATAAGGTTTCCCTGTTCAAAATATCATAATTAATCCAGATCATTAATCATTTTGGGTTTATCGGACCTAGATGAATGATTATTTTGGGTATATAGGATGATGCGAATTAATAATATCAATTTGATGCGAATTCATAGAAACAGTTATCAAACCCTGCTGAACATGATATTATTATAGGGTTTCCCTGTTCAAAATATCATAATGAATCCAGATCAATAATCATTTTGGGTTTATCGGACCTAGATGAATGATTATTTTGGGTATATAGGATGATGCGAATTAATAATATCAATTTGATGCGAATTCATAGAAACAGTCATCAAACCTAGCTGAACATGATATCATTATGGAGTTTCCCTTTTCAAAATATCGTAATGAATCCAGATCAATAATTATTTTGGTATATAAGAATTCTCAAGAGCTCTTTGAGAAATTGCGGCCATTGATTACAGTGGGAAAATTATCAGTGTAGTGTTTTCTGTCGGAAAACACGTTCAAAATAGGCTTTAAAGATAGCAGTGTTTTGTCACAGCTTTATAAAAGCAACAGAAGTAGGAAATCCCAGGAAATGTTAGATAATAGAAGTGTTAACGACTGAGTCCTAGGTCTGCAATTACTATAAATCCAATTACCTTAATGAGAGGACTGGTAACAGAACAGTTTACAAACAAGTATACAATAGGGTGCAGAGCTATGTGTGCATATTAATGTAAAAATGGGAATAATTTGCACAAACGGCAATAAACACAATGGCGACCTTCATCATAAAGTGTCCCTGTATCTCATACAGCCAAATAAGGAAAGATCAGTCTCTAGTCGCTGGTTGGCCACAACTGAGCTACTAGAATTAGAACAATGAAAAATATATGTTCAATTTGTTTTCGACATCATGCAATGAACCAATCACAAATATGCAGCATTGAAAATGCCCAACACCTCCGGCAAGAAGAATGTGAGTGGGTAGAAAATTGAGCCGCTGCGTAGGGTTGGGAGTTGCGAGTAGGTAAAAATAGATACGGTGGTAGTAATAGATTGGAATGTCATATTGTGGTTGGCAGCACTAGACTGGGTCGATTAATTTGGAACACATTCAATCGAAATGCCTGGAAACCAGCCGAAAAAAGCCAGAATGGATATGGGTACATATAAAGCTCGCTTAGAAGCAGCATGGATGAATGGCTTAACAGATTATTCAAGTGAAGCCAGTTTTAGAAAGATCCGAGATTTGTCGTCGGAACTCAGTTTGCCAGAGAAAATGCCGCCTAGCAAATTAATAATTCTTTATATAAATTCATGCGGGGGGGGGGGGGGGGGAGAAAAGTTGGGAAAGAGTCACCCCAGTCAGAAAAATTGTAAAAATTAAATGTTTTTATTGTCTTGATACAAAAGTTGAAGTGTTTTTCAACTTTCAAACAGATCTTTGGTATACACAGTTAACTATTATTGTTGAATCCCAGAATCATTTGAAAAAAAGATTGTCTATGTATCCAAACTAGTTTCTGTTGCACAAGCAAACCCGACGTGGACTATATGCTAAGCGCCATAGTTCTTTTATCAAAAGTGGTCACAATACGTTTTGAAAGTAAGTGTAGAAATTAATGGTTAAAATTAAGATTTCGCTACCATGCATACTCGTACTGTGATGGGTCTTTCAGCACTAGATTGATAATCGGAAGCAGGAAGAAAAGAGGATTGTTGCCCCGCTTTCCAAGAAGCAAAAGAAAAAAGCTAAGCTGTACAAGAGAAGACTTTGTGGGTTTTATTTCTTCAAAAGAGAACTTTTGTCAGCTGAAGGTATTGTATTATGCAACTGCATCAACTTCTTTTTACTTACTTAGAGGTTACTCTGTAGATTCATGTTTAATAGGTGATTAACTCATGAATGGGTGACAAGGTTGTAATACATCTCTTTGCTCAGGGCCATCGCTAAACACTTCACTTATGGAATGCCAGTCAACTTGCCAACGGCGGTGTCAATGAACTTGCCGACGGCCGTGTCAATGAACTTGCCGACGGCGGTGTCAATGAACTTGCCGACGATCTAATTTAGACTTAAGGTGTAATACGTATACAACTGTGATGGCTTGTAAATGCATCTGTTTTTTTGGCCATTTTTTTAATAACAATCTATAAATACATTTTTCAGTGTCCGAGGAGAACCCACCATCTCTTGTTCTTTCTAAAGCCAATAAGCTTTGGGCATCATTTTCTGCCAGAGAAAAGGCTGTTTATGAGGTACAAGTTAAGTCATTTACACCACCAGAGATCTCAGACCTTGGAGAGTCTGAAAAGAGAGGATATATAGAAAGCATAAAAGTGCAGATGAGAGAACTTGTAAGTTTGATATTTTCGAAAAGTAAGATTAACAGTAAAACATTTGTGTATCATCTTCATGTGTATATTTTTTGTTGTTCTGTCTTACAAACAAACATGCTTCAAACAAACATTCTGGCACTGTAAATTCTTTCTCTATCTTTTTTTAATTTCAGTGTGATAAGTTAGGAGCCTGTGACCAAGAAGTAGTTGTCCTTGTTGACGATTTAACAAAATCTAAAACAACTGTTTTCGGGACTGAGAAAGCAGTAGAATACATAGATTCACAACCCCGTGTGGAAGTCAATCTCTTAAGTTTTTTTGAAGGTAAGCAGTTTTAATTTTATCGAAGAGTCTATTTATCTTACACTTTACCATTTTTACGTTTCAAACTTATTTTGAGTATAACTGTGCTTGATGATTTGCTTTTTACCAGTTCAGCAAGGATTGCCATTCAACAAGGAACTTTTTTTATTGCCAATTTCTCCTTCATACTACCCCCTTTAAACTTTCTGCAATCTATATTGAAGGGATACTACCTGCAAACAAGGAAAATCAATGAGGCAAACTCAGAGAGGAGGTGCAGAGGATGTTTAACCAGAAAGTCAGTAGGTTAATGTTTATCATTTCATAGAATAAAGCCCAGTATTGCATACAAAGGAAAACAACAATTAGTTATGTTTACATCGAATTTCAGTGAAAAATTATTTAAACTGAAAGTATTTATTTTTTTTACTAAAACTGTATATTTGAAGATTTAAAATTTACATAACAAAGATACACAATGCAAACAGATATTTAAGATTGTTTAGAAAAATTCATTTTTTCCAGATGAGGCAACGAATGGAAAATGCGGGGTGTGTTTCGTATAAAATGGTGGAAGATGGAAAAATAAAAGCAACTGGTCTTCCAATGAATTTTACTTTGAAAAAGTCATCAGCATATGGGAAGCATTATATGCAGATAATAATAGAAAACAAAAATGAAATCAAATTTGAAGGTATATAAACTAAAAATCAGCAATATTTGATTTGGTGAGGGAAGAAGCCATTCAATATATGTAAAAATAACACATATCACAAAATCATAAAACGATGTATTTGTTTGATTATCAATATATATCACATGTATATCTGATCAAGATGAGCAAAAATCAAATTTGAAGGTATATAAACTAAAAATCAGCAATATTTGATTTGGTGAGGGAAGAAGCCATTCAATATATGTAAAAATAACACATATCACAAAATCATAAAACAATGTATTTTGTTTGATTATCAATATATATCACATGTATATCTGATCAAGATGAGCAAAATCACTCATTATCCAAAAAGAAACTGGCACCTTCCAGGATAATGGAGCAAAACTTTTCAATTCTTTGTCAGAAAACATAAGGAAGTGTAGTATCTACAGTAAATTTGTAACATCATCAAAGACTTTTTAAAGAACAAAATTGCAACATTTAAGTAAATAAAATAAAATGCTTTTAAAAAGGTACCATGTATTAAGTTTGTTTTTTCCATTTTATAGACACTTTTTAAACATTTTTTAACCTTATTGTATTCAGGACAATATTTCTTGAATCGAAGACAATATCTCATTTATCAAAGAATAGCCATGTTATGTGGATCTGTTAACATCCCTAATTATTAATATTCCTTTTTTCTTTCTTAATTTATTTTGTCTGTGCTTGCAAAAGTATTTTCTTTAAACCCAGGCTAACCAATTGGAAATTACCTTTGTAATAGTGAAACTTGTAATTGTAGTTCTAATTGAAATGCAAATGAAAATTTTCCATAATAATTATTGTTTTTTCAATAGTTATAAGTGAACAAGGTAATATTGAAGACCTTGAGCCAAGTTTTCAAGTCCTTGAATCAAACGAGGCACCAGGTGAGTCATGTTTCATTTCTCTACCAGTCAGAATTTATGTGACTTTGTTGAATCAATTTTGCAAAAAACTTCATAAAAGATTGAGAATTAAAGAATTCGTATCAAAATATTAAGCCATTTAAATCAAGATGATGTTTCCCTCCACCTCTCCATAGTTCATGGACAATCATGCATAAACTATAGATAGTACTACTGAATGCTATTAAGTTTGATTCTTCTAAATTTTATGTCAATAGAAATGGAGGAGCAAGACAATTCTGCAGGAGTCCTTGCTTCTAAAACCTTGGGCTCTAAAGAGACATCAGGTTGGTTTTCAGTGTATATGAGTATAATTATTGAGACAATAAGAAGCAACATTGGGCTTCAGCTGAATAACACAACCACCAATATATATTCTAAAAAAGCTACTTTACAACATTAGGAACAACAAGAGTATACCTAAAAAATATATTATTATCAAGAGTAGTAATTTTCAGGATGAGAATAAAATAGATTTTACAATGTACTGCAATCAAGTGAAAGGCAAATAACCCAGTATATTGATTCTGAACACCTCAGGAATCCCCAAAGAACAAGCCATAAAATCTCCATTAAGCTGCTTACCACCCTTTAAAACATATCGTTCAAAAAATAATTTGGTGAATCGATCAAAGCTAATTTAAGGGCGGGAAGGGGCCTGATAAGTCTAATGCTGTTGTTGTTGATGCTTTGCACCGTAAGAGGAGAAGCCAAAGCAAAACCAACTGCTGAAAAAGATAGCAAATGTAATGTGAACATATTTTCCTGCTTTTTGTATAATTATTATTGCCTTGTTTTTTATTTCTTGAAAGAAGGTGTACTGTATGATGCAAAAACAAAAAGGACAAAAACCGATTATATTGCACAAGTGCTATTTTGTGTACATAATTTCATTCAATGTCAAGTTTAAAAATAAAAATTTCATCCATAGATCATATTGGATGTAAACTAATCCAAATAATCGATTATAAAAACAAATCAAAAAGTAACGATTACAATTTCTGAAAACTATATATTACTTGTGAGCGAACCATGAAAACGAGGCTACGATATTGATAGGTGTGGCAAATTGGAACTTATTATTATTATCTAAAGGCTAGCGCACAGTCGTATCTACACACTATTGAAAACATTCATTCGAAAAAACTCTTGCGAAACGTCGTTGTATTGACATTCTCACGAAGATTAAATCTTATTCGAATCATTCTTGCTGTACTGTTTTTCTGATGATTTTATGCTATTTCTGAAGACAACCAGGTGATTTCTTTCCATATTTCTCTCGTTCGTCAAATTATCAAACTATTTATCTTACATTTATTCTGAATATATACAGTCCTCTAGATCTTAACTCTTGCGAACCACTCTGTGGTACTTTTTACCCTACAGCGTTTACGCTCTTTATGTTTATGTTTACGCTTGAATCTGATTCTAAGTGGGGTTTCTTAAATGGTCCATGAACCTCGACAGATTTCGCTGTTTACTTAGTTTGACGTTCTTTTCTTAGTTACAAATTGTTGTCTTTATCTTTTGGATTTTTATTACTTGTTGCATAAATCTGATGTCATGCCATGAACTATGAACTATGTCGCAAGAGGGTGAAGCAACGGACACTTCCGTACCTGAATTAATTCAACGCCCTAAACGAAGTAGAATTAGAGCTGGTTACCGTGCGCACACTAGTAAACTCTTAAACGATGCCAGGGACGAAATATATAGCGAAAGTTCTTCAATTTTGGTTCTTCAAAAACTATCAGTTTTCTTAAAGGAAAAATCGAACATTCTTAGGAAAATTGACGAAGAGGTGTTTCTTGAAACGAAGGACGATGATATCGAAAACGAAGTGATTCAATGCGAAGAAATTCAATCTGATATCTCCGGTTTATTAGTAGAAATTGAAGATAAACTGTCAGGTCTGAAACTTGAAAATGGAAGCCAATCAAATTCGGAAATATCTCGGCCAAACATATCTACTTCTACCAACTCTTCGTATGTTGATTCTGCAGCGAAATTACCAAAACTAGAGCTTCCTAAATTTTATGGAGATCCGAAGAAATGGATTGAATGGTGGGACTCTTTAGAAATTGTCCATAAAAGTGATGCTCTCTCACCGGCTAACAAATTCAGACATTTAAAGTTGTTGTTAGATGGTCTCGCTGCAAAATCTATATCAGGCATTCAAGTTACTGGCTCAAATTATGGTGAAGCTATTGAAATTCTGCAAAATCGTTTTGCGAACTGACAAATTATTATAAATGCTCACATGGAAAGTTTAATAAATCTGCCCCAAGTTTCATCGGAACGGGATCTCAAAAACTTGCGAAAACTGTATGATGAATTAGAAGTAAACATTCGAAGTTTGAAGTCATTAAAAGTAAATCTTAACGAATACGGAGCTCTTCTTATGCCCATGCTCATGAGTAAAATTCCTGAAAGTATAACTCTATTAGTTACAAAAGCTAGCCAAAAAGACGATTGGAAAGTAGAAACAGTCTTAGAAATTTTGAAGTCTGAGCTTGAGGCAAGAGAACAATGTGGTCAATTAACTTCGCAGAAATCCAATGTTGCACAAAAAGAGGGCAGTTCAAGAAGTTGAAATTCTCATTTCTATGGAAATACTCATACAACCTCGGCACTTTTGAATAATGGTGCACAAATTACTTGCTCATTTTGCAAAAGTTCGCATTCTTCTGCTAAATGTAACGTAATTACGGATACCCGAGCGCGAAAGGAAATTCTGAAAAAGCAAGGTCGTTGCTTTGTTTGTCTAAAGAAAGGACATTTGTCCAGATATTGCCCCAGTAACATTCGCTGTTTTAATTGCCAGCAGAGACACCATCTTAGTGTTTGCGAAAACAAAGCACTCTTTCCGCCGCGCGCTAATGAAAGCCAAGGTGCAATATCGGCTAATCCGATAATTCCAACACAATCTAGCGCAGCACATCAGCAAAGAAGAACAGGAGATGTTGGCCAGGCAACAACTACAATGTTTGTTGACTGCAAAAATGCGGTTCTTTTACAGACAGCCAAGGCCTATATTTCAAGGGCCGAAAACCCCGGGCAAAGGACCGTCGCGCGTTTGATTTTTGACTCTAGAAGTCAACGGTCATACATATCGAAGAGGCTGAAGGACTTTCTAGCCCTTCCCAATATTTCCATTGAGGAGCAAGTTGTGGCATTTCAAACTTCCATTGAGGAGCAAGTTTCCAAATTTTGGACCTTGGAAAGTTTCGGAATATTAAAAAACGAATTGAATTTTCAGAAGGCCGATATCAGGTTAAACTTCTTTGGAAAAAAGACCACCCAACTCTTCCCGACAATTTCGAGCTTTGCCAAAAACGTCTCATTGGGCTTTATTCTAAACTGAAAAAGAATAGAAAACTCTTGAACGATTATGATTCCATTATAAATGATCAAAAAAGAGGGGTATTATTGAAAGAGTTGATTCTCATTTTGTTGGTGGAGTTGGAAAAACGCACTATATCCCTCATCACCCAGTTATTAGGGAGGATAAAGAAACCACCAAAGTGCGTTTGGTTTATGATGCCTCTGCGAAGGATAAAACTGGTGTTTCGTTAAATCAATGTCTTTACCCTGGACCGTGTTTGCTTAAAACTGTCGCTGAAATTATTGCAAGGTTTTGTCTAAACCCAATCGCTTTAACGTCAGATATTGAAAAAGCGTTCCATATGGTGTCAGTTCACCCATCTGATAGGGACGTTCTTCGTTTTCTCTGGGTAGACAGTTTAGATGACGAGCAGCCAAAAATTATTACTTACAGATTTTCTCGTGTTGTTTTTGGGATTACATGCTCGCCGTTTCTGCTAAATGCAACCTTGAAAAAGCACATTGAAAGCTATTCTACAGATTACCCTGAGGTGTGTAATAAACTTCTTAATTCGCTTTATGATGATGACGTAAACTCCGGAGGACATTCTATCGAAGAAGTTTTAAATCTTTATGAAATATCTAAAAACCTCATGCTTGAAGGAGGTTTTCGACTCCGAAAATGGCAGTCAAACTCTAAAGAAGTTAGGGACAAAATCGAAGATTTTGAATCCAATTCTAGCGAATGTATAGAAAACATTTTACCTACAACAGAAGAAAACCAATCTTTTGCGAAGTCAAGTTTATCTATGGAAGAAATTGATAACAAATCAAAATGTGTAAAGGTCTTAAGGCTAAACTGGGATCTCGAAGAGGATGTCTTTGAGTTGAAGCTGTCAGAACTTGCAAAGTTCGCTGCCGAATTGATTCCTACCAAGCGCAATGTATTGAGGCTAGTTGCAAAGGTATTCGATCCCCAAGGTTTCATTTCACCTGTGACTACTCCTCTGAAGGTGTTTTTACAGAAACTCTTTAAGGCAACATTGTCTTGGGATGAAACATTACCTGAAGCACTTGACAAAGAATGGAAATTTCTCATCTCCAAATTAGATAAAGTAGAAACTATTTTTGTACCAAGGTACTATTTTGGTTCCATCGATGGGAAACCTGACCTCGTCGGACTTTTCGGCTTTTGCGATAGTTCTGAAAGTGCTTATGTAGCGTCGGTATATGCTAAGATTACTGTCAACGGAAAAAGTCACGTGAGCTTGGTTATGTCTAAATCAAGGGTAGCACCTTTATCTAAAACAACCATTCCAAGACTAGAGCTGCTAGCTTGTCTAACTCTTGCACGATTAATCGATTCTGTGGAAAATTCACTAAGTCCTGTTGTTAAAACTAAAGTGGTCAAATGTTGGACAGATTCGATTTCAGCACTCTATTGGATATTGGGAGAAGGAAAGGAATGGAAGATATTTGTTGAAAACCGTGTCCAAGAAATCAGAAAATTGGTCAATCCTAACCTCTGGTCACACTGCCCAGGAAAGGAAAATCCTGCACATGTTCCTACTCGCAATTATGACGTCACGAAACTGCAAATGAATGATCTTTGGTGGTCAGGTCCAGAATGGTTAAAAGAAAATCCTGGGAATTGTCCTAACGTTGATCGTCAAGATGAAATGCCGCAGGAATGTCAAGAGGAAATCCGTAAAAATAATGTCTCACAGGAGAAGTCCAGCACGGTTTTGCTAGCTGATGCTGTGCAGAAAAATTCTTTGAGAAATGTAATCAAGTTAGAGAATTTCAGCAGCATTTCACACCTCTATCGCGTTACTTCATACGTACTGCGTTTCCTTCATAACTGCAGAAAGAAAAGTCAAAAATTCGATGGAGAGCTTTCAGCTGAAGAGATGGCGAAGGCAGAATTGTTTTGGATTAAAGAAGTTCAAAATGATATTTCTAAACACGAGAACAAGCAGTTTGAACGGCAACTAGGTATTTTCAAAGACAAAGTCGGAATTATTCGTTGCGGAGGTTGTCTTAGTAATGCAGACATTCCTTTTGAAAGCAAATTTCCAGCACTACTTCCCAGAGAAAATCACCTTACAAAGTTAGTGATACAGGATTGTCACAAGCATGTCTTTCACGGTGGCGTGAAGGAAACTCTTTTAGAATTACGTAGTCACTTCTGGATAGTAAAGGGACGTCAAGTTGTCAAGAAAGTTATCGGCAAGTGTACTCTCTGTAAAAGGTTACAAGGAATGTCCTATGGAAATCCTAAAACCGCGAACTTACCGCGCTTCAGAGTGGAAGATTCTTTCCCATTTACTTCAGTCGGAGTTGATTTTGATGTCAAGAGTGATCAAAAGCAGATGAAGAAGGTATACATCACGCTCTTCACATGTGCTACTTCTCGCGCTGTACACCTTGAACTAGTCGACGAATTATCAGCTGATGCGTTTCTAATGTGTTTTCGTCGATTTGCTGCACGTAGAGGCATACCGTCTCTAGTCGTATCAGACAACGCTATGACATTTTAATCTGCATCAAAGAGGCTCGTGAAACTATTTCAATTACCAGAAGTAAGGAAATTTTTCGCAGAACGAAGAATCAGTTGGATGTATAATCTACCCAAGGCCCCTTGGTGGGGTGGGTTTTTTGAGAGATTGGTCAAAAGTACAAAATCGTGTCTGAAGAAGGTTGTAGGATCTGCAAAGTTAAATCGTAATGAGTTGAACACTGTTCTTGTCGAGATAGAAGCTGTCCTAAATTCGCGTCCTTTGACTCATTTGTATCCTGAAGATATCTCTGAGCCTTTAACACCATCACATCTACTTATGGGTAGACGTCTCATTTCCTTGCCTTATTCGGTAGCGAGAGATTCTGAAGATCAACAAGAATGGGGAACGAAAGAGAACCTAACTAAAAGAATAAAATATCTCTTGTTAACTCTCGAGCACTTTAAAGTACGTTGGAAAAAAGAATATTTATCAGAACTTCGCGAGCATCATCGCAATCTCAAACGCGATGAACATCGATCTTCCATACATCAAGGTGATATAGTCACCGTGCACAACGAAAATAAGTCTAATCGCCTATTCTGGAATCTCGGAAGAATCAAATCGTTTATTTTTGGAAGAGACAATGAAATTCGTGGTGCAAATGTACAACTGTCAAACGGAAACGTTATAGCTCGACCGTTACAGAAATTATTTCCACTCGAAGTGACATGCTCTGAACCTTTAGTTCCG